GTTACTTTCTTGTCTCGAAGAAATGAAAAGCGCTGCGGTCGCTAGTAGAACATTGTAACTTGGGAATTCTCCTGCATTCAACTTTTATCACGCGTGTGAGAAATAACTCTTTTACGGGTGAAAAATGGCCAGGTTAAGAGGTTAAAGAACATTTTCAGAATGTTCAGCGACACGAACGCGAACGGGAACGATATTTCTTCATTAAAGAATCCTGTGCCGGATCGATAGCGATGCGTCAGAATGTTTGATCAAGAGACACGAAGTTGGATGGCGACTTTCCGGCGATCAAAGCGAAATACGGGGACGAACGAGTCAGCTGCCAGAAGCAGGGGCAATTTAATCAAGAAGATGGAACTAACGAGACGGCCACCTTCCTTCGATCCTTTAATCTCTCCTCGAAGAAAGGCGGAGGGAAAAGCTGCTCTCTCAAGAATTAAAAAAGGATCCCCTTTCACGATAACGTACGCGAGAACATCGCCATCGGGATTAAGTTGGACCAGCGTCGGTGAAATGAACTCAATCCATGCCATTTAGTCCTTGGCGTATGTATTAAAATTTGAAAAGCTTTGCTACGAGAACATCGCGCTTCTGGAAAACAAACGATATTTCTTTCTGCAACGATAATAGCTGTCGTTGCTGCGAAATCTGCCGATCGTGTCTCGCTGATTCAACTTTCAACGAGCAACGAGATACACGAAGCGAAGCGGACGAGATGCGATACGAACGGATTAATTCGCCGAGATTAAAGACACAGGGGAACGATTGTACGCTCGGCACGTCATTGTACCACCCTCTTTGGATTTCTAAGAAGGAAACGCTCCGTTGTTGAACAACGTTTTTATTGAAACGAGAAACTGTAACGGAACCGCTTGCTAGTACGTCGCGATTGGAGCAGGAAGAAGAGATTACACTGTGCGCGTAAAATATCGATTACCTGCTCGATAATGTAACGAACATAACGTTTCGTTTAACGCTCCGACGGCTACACGTTTCATGGGTTTTATGACTCGTGTGTTTCTATGTGCGGTTTTATGTATACATATTTAAAAGCAGAAGAGAATTGTACGGGAAGAATTAACGAAAGAGATTTTATTAATGTTGATTCGAATGAAAATTTAATAATCCATGAATGGTACAATACTCGTGTAAGAGAATTTCGCAAAAATCATTGGAGAATCTTCGATTCCCATTGGAAGACGAGGTCAATCGAGTTTGGCAAACGAACCAACAACGCTTCTGTTTGCAAACGAAATCCCCCCCAGCATCCTCGTTATTATCGCTTCTGTGCTTTGTCCAAGATTGATCCCAGACTCATCTGAATTCCTCGAGCTTACATTCGTTGCGCTAACATCCGCGAATCGTAGAAAGTAGAACGATTGGCTAGCAGGGGGGCATCGATTCTACTTCATTTCGGACATCGAAAGCTTCATCCGCAGAGGGAGGAATCGTGAGTAGAAAGCGAAGCTACAAGTTTCGCATGGAACATCCCCCTATTCTTCGATTCTTCTATCGGCGACGTTGCGTCGCATACATCCGACAGCTTCTACTTCCTCTTATCTTACGATCAGCTAGCTCCAGGAGTTTCGACGCGGAAGGTGGTGGTCGTTTTTCCTTGGTCCTGACTGTTGCTCCACTTTCGCCGACCACGGTCGGTCATTTAATTTGCAGATAGGCAAGAAATCTGTTCCCGGAAGCTCGTCAAAGGAGGAGGATGAGACTAAGAAAAAAAAGAGGAAGAGACGAAGAAACTGACGGTGTGTCTTCGCAGTCGGTCAGGTGGCTTCGAGCCCTCCTCGCTCGAGATATTTATTACGCCGCGCCGGAACGAAGTTATTGCCTGTCGAAGCCACGATTCCGAGGAACTATCATAGAAATTATTCGCGTTCCTTTAGCGCCTTCTAGGAATCTGTCTCGACGTCGACCCAATTCCCATAGACGCACGTTTTGCCTTAGGTTCGTGCGTTCCCGGGGTTCGGTCGAGAATTTCCAATCCGGTCGATCGATGGTAACCGGCTCGAAAAACGCGTCAACATTTGAATCGACTTTTCCGGTAATCCCGCTTAATCCCGCGGGTACACTATTGGTAAACGGTAGCGAGGCACCGAGCGAGTCGTGCCAATTCGGTTGGTTCTTACGATCATCCGAGGATAAATGGACCGTTGTTGATCGAAGTGGGTCGACGACGCGCGACCATTCGATATTTTCACGTTCGTTCGCTTTCTCGCAGCTGGATTACGTTGGAAAACTCCATTGGATCGTGATTAGCGACGGAAATCGTGCGGTTAGTGGAACATATCGCTGTGGTCCACGCTGATAAAGAATCTAATCGCGAACTCGCCTCTTCTTTTCCTCCTGTTGGCGAGCTGTAACGCCGCGAAATTGGCTCTCGTTCCATCGAAAGAAAAACACCAACTTATTTATCCTACGAAGAATCGCATCGCTGATTGCGTATCACCGAGTCGTTGAAAAACATCTCGACCGCTTTCACCGGCGTACCATCTGTTCGTTGTACGAAACTAACGCGAGAGCGTACTCGGACGTTTGTCTTGTTTTAATTATTCAATCTTAAGTAGCAGCTTGGCTACTTGAAAACGTACGGACAGGATTGTACGCGCGTTTGCCATGGAATGCAAACGAAACGCGAGGTCAAATTGATTCGAATCAATGTTCGTTTCCTAGGAGAAAGAGATGTTTTGCAATTTGAATAAGATCGCCGACCAGCGACGCGGAAGGGGACGTTTTTATTCGTCCGCAGCTTTTTAACGAGCTACAACTGGACGATGCACGACCGAGCGAGAAGTGAGTCGCTTTTTGTGCTCACCAGGCGGATATATTTTTGTTCGAGGGATGGGCGCTCGTAAAAAAGATGGTAACTAATCCGAACGGTACACGGCGCTACTTTTGGCTCGCCCGGTCTCCGGATTGTCGTCACGTCCCGACGTCCCTTTTCTGGCTGATCGCGTATCGAGCATTACAATGCCGTAATATCGTACACGGCACCGCGAAGTAACGGGTATCCGTATGGCACGCGGATTCAACGATGATTTAATCCTTCGCTACGCGACTTTTCTATGCAGCTGCTGGCTACTTCGATTCACCACCACGCGTTGTGCAATCAACGGCCCGATCGTGATTCTAATTACGATACGCGCGTTTCCGATTTGCTAATCAGTGAAAATACCGATTACGAGATCCAAAGTGATCGAACTACGATGTTGAAAAACCCTGACAAATGAAATATTTGACTCTCGTTTTGCTTCTTATTCGTCGCTAATACAGATCCAAGCGTCGATCAACTATGGAGCCGAAGTGACAGAGTACCGTAAGCAAGTACGAAGAAGATCTCTGTGTCAATCAATGTCCGGCCTTGGTTCTTAAGTGGAGGCAAGCACCGTCAAACTCGTCTGGTTCGATCGCGCCACGTACAAGGCGGCCTCTATCAGTCCAGATCAGTCGACTGCTGGACTTGGCATATTAGTCTCCGTAAAGGGGCATCGATCGCCATTTCAGCGACTTCGTACACGAGGCACGCACGCGGAAGATCAAGCCGCAAGAAGCGTCCGAACACCGCCAACCGAGTAACAGTATACGATGCACCATGGTGGTTTTCTTGTTTCCCAACTTCCATGGGATCCATGGCGTTTCAAATCTTCCATCCCCTGGTATGTTCGGAGGTGGAATCGTTCGAAAGTCAAGGAATTTCGCTCAGTTGCGTAACGGAAGTTTCATAACTAGGTATCGATGAGACTTAATGAGATTTCCAGTGTTTGACGATGCTCGAAACTGGTAGAAGCATTCGAGGATCACCTTCAACGCGAAGATAATTGCTTTAACACCGAACCGATCTGTGTAATCTCCAACCGACCAGACTGAACTGCGACTGTTCTTCGATCCAGATACTCGAATAACGGATCGATCATTCGATGTTACGGTTATCTTTTATGGGGATGAAAATCTTCTACTTCGTACACGTGTTTTTTAAAATGATCGTTTCGAAGCTCTTTGGGTCGTAAAATTTTCCGAGAAACGTTCTAACGATCGTCGCGTTACACGGGGATAGCTTTGGTGCAACTTCATGAAACATTCCGCGGTTGTAAAAGCGAACTTCTAGCAAATTGCTTACCGTAGCTGGTCATTCTATCAGGTCAGGATGTTCTTGTTTCATAGTCGACCACCTTACCACCTCTTATGTTTATGATATTCGTATTATGTTTAGCTAGAAAATCGGAAAATAACTTGGCAAACAGAGAAACCACGGAAATGAAATTTTCAGATATCATTGTTTATTTCTTTACGGAGTCAAGAAGCTTGCATAGATATCGTTAAAGATATCCGTTGCGCCTACAGTATAAATATGTACTTGCTTTATTGTATTTCAACTTACACTAATGGTCATAAGTTCGAAACCACTTCCTTTATGATTGTGATACATTAAACGGTCGTAATTATCCTTCAACCGTATACATAGCTATAAATAATTGCCTTCGGTTCGTGTATAGAACTACGTTTTAATAACATTTTTTTATGGTACTGTTAAATTCTTCAACCATGTACTCGATCTAGATTGAGTATAAATAATTCCAGTTTTAACATCGATACAAGGTAATTGTATATTGAAAGCATATTGAAGGCGATGCGGTAAATTGAACGCGTCAGTAATAAATAAATAAAAAGGGGCGTAATAAAAATATTGGAACAATTGCATTCTGTTCCACTAAGAGCACCCTTTTCTCCTTGTCGGTTTTTCGATCGGCACCAAGAGGGTGCGGGTGAATCCGGGAAATTATGACTCGACTCGGAGGGGTGAATGTCAATCGAAGCTCGTTGGATTTAGCAAAGATCCCTTCTCCTCGGGTATCCGTGCTCGAAACAAATGAAAAATCGGAGCGTATACGTCGAGTGAGTCGTGTCTCCATGTGTTCGGCAATTTCCGACACCCCTCGGTGGGTCTCGCGAGCGCGCTGTACCGCCGCGTTATTCAGTCGAACGCTGACCGCCACGCGCGTAGGATCGTGTTGCGCTCCGTACCAACGCGTCACCACGAGTCATTCCCGGTTGTCAACCAGCTGTTCGGTTTGACAGCCAATCGCGTCTCGCGTTTCTTTACTCTGTCGACGCAATTGATCGATTCTGTCTCGCGAAAGTTGCCACGATTGTCGTCGATGTCGAAGCTCGATCGATTCGCGTAGTGCGTGACTGGCGACCTCCCCTTCCGGGGCACGTGCTCGTCAAAGTCGAACTCTGTGCGCTTCCCGAAAGCGCAGTGCCGTTTAATTAATCATCAAAGATCGAACGATAGAGAGATCGGTGAATAGGAAAACAAACGGTCTGTTGGCAAACAGGAGGAGACGGCACGCGATCAGGTCGTGCGTTCGATTTGGCAAGTGTGTCGAGTTCCCAGCTACTTCGGGACTTCTGTTAACGAAGCAAAGCCGCCTTTAAACGAATTCAACGAGGCCACTCGTCCGCGCGGTCAATTCGTGTTAGCCCGCGTGGACGATACGCCGCGTTCCTCTCGCCTCCTCGCTCCATAGAGTTGACTGACCGAGTGACTCACGAGATCGCCAGAGTACTCGTCTCCGTCTCCTCTCGTCTCGACGATCGAAGATACGCGACGCGCGTACAATGCGCTCCTTCTGTCGTCGCTCAACAACCGAAACATTCAGATAAGAGAAGGCCGAGTCCACGCATCAGAATCGCTAGCCAGACGAACGCGAACGTTCCGCGATTAACGATCGACAAAAGCGTTTGCGGTAATTAGAAGCAGATTAATTGGACCGCGAAGCAGCGCGCGCGCCGGACGCGATGAAAGAGAAGAGGAACACAGCGGTACGGTCGATCGAATAAGCACGCCGCTCGTGCTTTACCTCGCTTCGTAGATTCTTCCTCTTGCCACGAATTCCGCCTCGTTCCAGAGTAAATATTTACGAGGCGAATCGTCGATGAACTTCGAAAGCAGAACGTCTTACCTGTACGTGTACAAACGGTGAATCAAGAATTCGGAGCTGCTATCCACGAGTACTGGCGCGTTAAAGCGGATTTTACTTCGCTTCGCAAATCCAACACGAACCAGGAAGAATCTGAAAACGACTCAACTACACATTTGGATTTACCAGTCAGTTTAAAGCTCAAAGAGATTGAGAGATTAAAAATCAAAGGGCACAGAGGGTGGTAACCGCTCGATCAGTTGCTCGAGAGAGGAAACTCCGACGGTCAGCGTGTCGGGAATCGGGTCGGATGATGCGCGGTCGCGCGACAACGCGATTTTCGGCAATCGTGGTGGTAGAATGTTGACAGCCCGTTCTGGGCCTCTTGGGCTCGGTGTACCGCGAACCCTGGGGCCCGCGGAAGGGAGCGATCACCTGTTCCTCTTGCCAGAGCGGGCACTGATCATGGACAGCACTCACCTGCGACAAGACCTGGCCGGTCTCGACTTCAACTTGCACTTGAATCTGCTCCACACCGCGCCTCGTGGCAACGTCTGGCTATGTGAGTTACTACTCTTTTACACTAGGTCACTGTCGTCCGCAATGATGGGACCGCTTTTTGCCGCTGGTCAGACGTCAGGAATTCCACTTGGAATTTCAACTGTCGCGTCGTTAAGATCTGGATGTAGTCTTCCATAGCCTATTTCGTGGAATTGTTTGTGCGAGGAATAAAGGTGGTTAACCCTTTTGTTAAGAAAGATCATGGTAGTAGTTGGTTCGATAAAGATTGAAAATTGATAAGAAAATTCGACAAAATCCGTCTTATTGCGTTCTATTTATGATCACACTATATTGATCCTATAAATTATTATAATGGGCAGGCATTAAGACTCGGTTAGTTATTCAATGTGTTAAGCGGCGTACGTATTATACAATATTTCTCTTATCCTTGATGTTTAATTCCCATTCGTGTGATTCATCCAGTTGGATTCAGCTTAAACAATGAACCATGCAGTATTAAACAGACGGGCGTTAAAATAAAACGTACAAGATGCGTCAGAATGCGCTGATTCGTATTATACAATCCTCTTTCACGCGAAAAGCACACTAGAGTTCGTTAAAACAAACCAAGTTTTGCGTTTTAGTTGTGACAAGTGTTCCTCGACCAACTCAAAACATTAGTCTTTCCTGTTTCAGTGCATTGTCTAAATCGTGTCAAGAACAAATACACTTCCGAGTAGAAACACACCGCCATTCAAATATTTTCGTCCATTTTCGTATAATCACGTTCGCGCGATAATTTTCTCTTCATTGGCTAAGGTTTTCTTGGAACGACACGTTCAACTGAAAAATATAAAATTCTTTCTTTCATTTACAAGTTCTTTTATTGTATTATTTTCGAGTTGCCCTAATAGCGAAATTGAGCGTGTCACCTAAATAGGTACCTACTCGAAACGAAGTAAGTTTTAGCAAACTCCTATCAAAGACATATCACTCAACACAGGTGAAAGAAATGTTACACATTCCTTAAGCCTTAAGCTAATCATTTTCTCGCGTGCCAAACTCAAGTTCCACCAGACGATCCCCTAAACTACTTTCAGCGTTATAAATTACCCCGCGGACGTGCCAGTCAAATATTCTAGTAGTCGTTAGACATTATCGTTTGTATTCATCGTCGACTTCGCCTGCCTATTATGGCTTTCGTTACAACATTTGTTCCTGATGTTACCGTTCGAGCTTATCAAGATTGATAATTACCTACTGTCACCGCAAATATTCTCGCCAATCCTTTTACCAACTTGACAGTCCTTCATGGTGTCATTTCCCCGGCACTTTCTTCGTACTCCTCTGATCGTACAGTTAGGTTACTTATCGTACTAGGACAATCTGACCGTTTTTAATAGCTCCCGTCGTGGCCCGGGTTAATATTCCAACGGTGTTGATCTAGAAACCTACAATCTTGTTTAATGGGACGCCACGCGGCAATCTCTCTTCGCCGTTCCAAATCTCCGATGTGTTTTCTTTTGCACAAAACAAAGTTGTAATTTAAGGAAGACTTAATCGACGAACGCAAATTTCTATGAAAGTTATTCGAATATTATCTCCATATCGAAAGTTATTCCTCTTAAATAACACCTGACGGTTGTAACGTTTCTAATCTCGGAACAGCAGCCTTTTCGCAACACTCTTTTTGCTAATTATCGTCGGAGCGCTTCTGTTCGCTCCTGTTCGACGTATCGACAGGCGGAATCGACAAGAAAGCAAACACTAATGTAAAACTTCATGGCACGTTGCTGTATCGCGTTTCACGCGTCATAGCAGCATAGAATTTTCCATCTTGCTTTTTCCGCGATAAACAGCTACCGCTTTCGAATAATAATTTCTCTCTCTTTTTTTTTTATACCGTCAAAAGGCTCGATAGAAATATTGTACAAAGGTAGAACGTCGGGAATTCGCGTAAAACCTCGGACTTTGCGAAAGTAATCAGCGCGAGGTCGTTCGTAAACTTTTCTTGGTACCGTGAAAATTCGATTGCAAGGAACGCGAGAAATGCCGTTCGATTCCAATGGAATTAATTGCAATATTTTGAAACTGTTGAATGCAATCGACGGATAACGCGGTGTTAACCTGTAAGCTGGCGTGATTACAGATAATGCGGGCGAGGTGCGCAACGTTCGTTTCGTTTACGTAACGCGAGAAAGGTGGAAACGAACCCGCGGTCTTTTCATTTTTCGCGAATGAATCGTTCAGCTGTGACTCGTTCCAGAGAACAGAGGACTCTCTGGAACGTTATAATTATAGAGGTGGAAAAGTTGAGAACTAAATTGAAAAGGTTCGGTTGAAAATGAACAAGTTTGCGGGGAAAATTGGGGCCTCCAACTTTTGTAACACCACGCACGTGTTCTTAGAATGTTTCAAATAAAATATCGTACGGTATTCAATCTTTTATGTTAATTTCAAACACTTTCGCATAAATGTTATAACCGAGATTTTCCCACTGCATTACATTTTACAAACAGAAATTACTGAAATGATGCAAGATCCATAGGTCAGCGATCACGAATGTATTCGTTAACACTTCAGCTACTGGTGCCACGAATTCGTAATTTTGATATTTAAATTTATATTTTATTATCCTTCATGTTATTTTCTGTGTCTAAAATTGTGATTGATATATAAATTGTTTAAAAGATGATAAGATAAAAAATACGCGACATTGGCCGTGAAAATGTCATTATAAGCGCATTCTTTCGAATTACCGAGAACCTGTTCCCTAATTATTTCAGGAACTTGTTGCGATCGTTGCAATAAATTGCATTATAACTGTCGAGTAAAATAATTACACGTGCCTGGTCGTAAAGTTTTATCGTCGTTCCTGGCAAAGGAACAAAAGTTAAAATGTCTCTTCTTTATCGTTTTGAGTGAAACCAAGCGGCATGACTGTTCACGGTGTCAGAGTATGTTATCTTTGCTGGTTATTTTAGCCATGTTTGCTTTGCAGTCGACTACATCATACCGGTAGAATTTTTCAAGATATTAACTTTGCGTTAAGTGCGCTTCATTGGTATCATAAATTATAGAAAAGCAGCGATAATTACTTTGAACGAGTATATACTCTCGTTGAAAATCTGTACAATCTTTTTGTCTTTGAATTTCGTGATAATTGGACCACCTTGGCGTCAGTCGAGAACCAACGAAACCTCTGCAGTGATTAACGCAGAGGACATCCCATGAATTTTCCTCGCGAACTCTCGTCGAAACGCAAACACTGGCGAATTGTCTGCAAAGTCTCCCCAAGCTTGGATTTTACTACTTACGTGTGCGATCTTTCACTGAACTTGCTTCCAGTTAATCTCGAATGAAATATTCCAGTTAAATTTTCTCGTCCTTGCTGTATCCATTAATCCTTTTATCCTTGAATATGAATTTTATCAGATCAGAAAATAAGACGTACTTCAGCTACTCTGGTGTCGAATCAGAGATTTCGAGGGTAATCGTCTACCCCTGGGGACGAAAGGGTTAAATCAGTCCTTGAATGTGCTGAATGGCCTGATAAATCGTCGCAGAGTTTTTCGAAGAATCCGCTCGAATAATCGCGATTATCATCCCCACACGTTTGCTTATCGTTGAACCACACCTCGAAGCTGACACAACGGTCAGCTTTAATTCCCTCCTGCGATGCTCAGGGATTAACTACTAAACTAAATGAAGAGAGAGAGGGAAAAAAGCGTAGTCGTTTGGACGGAATCACGTTAATTATTTTTAAGCCACGCCCGACGAGTTGAGCTAATTAAAGACGCGACCTTAACACCGGCCTTGGAAACGCAAGACTCGATTTACAAAGCTTGTTGCACGCCGGTATCTTTAGAGTGAAAATTCCGTGTCCTTTGTCGCTTACCGTAATCCAATCGATTGCGTACGAGTTTGATCGGTGTTAATCCAATCGTTCGTGCTGTAATTAACCCCTTTGATACGAGTTTGATGGTCGATCATGGTCGATCATTCAATCTGCATTCAACATTAGTTCGATAATTTGAATGTTCCATTCCATTGATTTATAAAAGATTGAGCGAATAAATGTAGTTTCTTAATTATTGTATAAAGTTGGCGCTTTATTCTTGGCTCTTAGGATTTTAATATAACTGTCTTTTGTCGAGGTCAACGTACATAATGAAAGCTCTTGTGGTTCATTATTGCTAAAATTCAGTATCTCTTTGTTAATTTTTCTATGGGTACTTTAATAGAAAACCAATTTAAATTCTCAAATGCTTTTATCTCATATTTCTCAATTTTATGAAAATAGAAAACCAAAGCGGACCGTCATGTTAGAGAGGACATTACAAAATGAATTTGCAATTCGTTTGTAGCACCTCTTATGTGATATGAGTAATAAGCGATATTAGCTTTGTCGATATGACATTAATTTAATATAAAGATAGTCTCGATGCGATAATGACTAATTTCCGGACAACACGGTGTATCGACCACCGACACCGTTCGCGTGACGGTGAATAATCCTCTCGATGCTTTTGTCCAAACTCGAGATCGATCTTCGTATCAGCAAGATCCCATCGACTGTATAATTGATTACGAAAACGTCTTTCGTGAATTCGCGAGCAATCGAGCGCAACGCAATATTTCATCAGTCAAATGATAAAACAAAATTAGAGGATGACCCAGATATTTCCGCCGTTCGAAATAATCAGAGAGGATCGTTTGCGCGGATGGATTACTTTATTTCTACACGAGACATCCAATCTGATAAAAGCTTCCCTCGACCGGTGAACGTTGTTAAGAATATTTCATAGAAAATTGGTCCATCAGATCAGCGGATTAAGATTTGAATATGGATCATTGAATATTACAAACGATTCGTTTAATAAGTGGATTGTTCAGGCTGTTTGCTTTGTGAGATGAATTGATCCATTTATTAGAATTAATTAAAAACATCCTCGTTGCAGTGCATTATCATTTAATTTTTAATACTACTTCAAATTTTCTTTTGATAATTAGTTAATTAAATTTCTAACATCAGTCATCCACGCTTAGAATAATTACTAA